GCGGCAACAACAATACTACAGCGAGAATAAAAGTTATGCCTTCTTTCTTTGCATGAACATTTGGGCGGCATTATGCAAATCTTCCCATATCGTGACGTAGTCATGTGGGGGCGTGTTAGAACGAGCCGTTTTAGGTAGGCGTGGTTGACTCAGCTTTTATGAAGAATATCTCTTTGGATTTGAGACTTTAGTCTTTGCAACTTTACAGATCTTCTTTATGCACCAAGAGCTTGTAACACTCCAAAGAGAAAGGAAAAAATGGAAATCACATCATATGCCCCCTTAAGTGTCATTAGCAGTGCCATGTGCATGATCTCATGTGTTCTTTTTGGCTCCGTCTTTAAATTTTTACCTCATATGCCTACTGTATATACTGTATATTCACGCTTGAACACAAACCCAATCAACTGTAATCAATTTGGCAAAACAAGCTCTGGTTCCTGAATGTGGTCAGATGACGTTGTGTTGTTGGCTGAGGCCAATGCGGACAGGTTTTACTTTACCACTATGTGCTCTGTTTGACACTGATATTTTGTTAAACATGTAAGACATAATGTTGTATGTTATGTTAATAGGATATTGAACGTTAGGGAGTTGAAAAAGTTAAAAAAAAGACTCAACAAATTGTTTAATTCCGATTTTGAATTGCCTCACTGATGTCACTTATAAACCATTTACTTTAATAAAAATAAAGTCCTCTTTGTTAAGAAGAGCAAAATAACTCACATATTCTCTTTGTCCTCTTAGGCCCCAGCTTTAGAGGACTCTGGGAGTGAGGCAGCCTGTCTGGATGATGGGGAGTCTCTGCAGGAGGGGCATGGAGAGCAACAGGACTATCAGGAATGGTGTGAGCCAGTTTCTGAAGCAGCACAGGACACAAAAGAGGAATATTTTGACACACACTCATGTCACAGTGACACTTTCTCTGGCTTGAGTCATGAAACTAAGGACTGCTGCAGGACACCGCTCAGCTCTGTGGGTCATCTGGACTCACACTCACCTTCGGTTAGAAGGAGAGATCCCTCTTCATCAAAACTGCATAACTCTATCAATCATGCTGACAGTCTCAGTAGAACAGAGGATAAAGAACAATTGCAAAAGCAGACTGAAAATATGGGGATGATGTGCATGGGAGTTGATGGCACTGGAATGTCTCAAGCTAAGGGTGCTTCGGAATGTGAGGAGGTTTTCAGCAATTTTCCAGCGGGACCTGATATTGATTCTTCTTCAAGGAATGACCAATCCTACATCGTAACACCCCTACTGGCATTAGAGAACGCTGTAGAACCACAAACACTCACTGATCCATGTGCTAATGACTCATTATTAACCTTAACAGACTGTGATGGAGCCAAGTCTCAGTTTGCTGACACCTTTGAGGGAAGATCAAAATGGGATCAAATTAACAAAAATATCACAGACACTCAGTCAAGACACATTGAGCCACGAATACAGTTCATAACCTCAAGTGAGAAGCAGTTACAGCAAAATGATATTGACAGTATTAACACTGAAATACAGTTGATTTCGAATGCATCTGTTGCGAATAGTAAAGATAACGAATGTCGTGAGCTGGGTGTTGATGAAAATAAGATCAGTTTATCTGTATCACGTCAACTTTCTGTATACGAGTCTGTATCAGTTGAGAAGCCTATTGAACAGGAATTTGAGGAGTCAACAAAACACAGCCAATCACAGCCCTCAGTAGAGCACAGCAAATCACTGCCCTCAGTAGAGCACAGCCAATCACAGCCTTCAGTAGAGCACAGCCAATCACAGGCATCAACAGAACTAATCCAATCACAGGATTCTGTAGAATGCAGCCAATCACGGAATTCAGCAGAACACAGCCAATTACAGGCCTCAACAAAAGACAGGCCATCACAAGATTTTGTTGAACACAGCCAATCACAGAATTCAGTAGAACTCAGGCAATCACGAGACTCAATAGAACACAGTCAGTCACAGGATTCAGTAAAATGTAGGCAATCACAGAATTCAGTAGAAAACAGACAACCACAAGACTCAGTAGAACATAGTCAGCCAAAGGATTCTGTAGAATGCAGTCAATCACATGATTCTATAGAATGCAGCCAATCACTGTATTCAGTCGAACACAGGCAATCACAAGACTCAATAGAACACAGCCAGTCACAGAGCTCAGAGGACATGCCATCCCAAATTTTCATCAAACACAGCCAATCACAGACCCCAGTAGAACACACCAAATCACAGGATTCTGTAAAATGCAGTCAATCACATAATTCAGTAGAACACAACCAATCACAGACCCCAGTAGAACACACCAAATCACAGGATTCTGTAAAATGCAGTCAATCACAGAATTCAGTAGAACACAACCAATCACAGGACTCAGTGGAACACAACCAGTCACAGAGCTCAGAAGACATGCCATTCCAAAATTTCATCAAACACAGCCAATCACAGACCCCAGTAGAACACACCAAATCACAGAATTTTGTAAAATGCAGTCAATCACAGAATTCAGTAGAGCACAACCAATCACAGACCCCAGTAGAACACACCAAATCACAGGATTCTGTAAAATGCAGTCAATCACAGAATTCAGTAGAACACAACCAATCACAGGACTCAGTAGAACACAGCCAGTCACAGAGCTCATTAGAAGACATGCTATTGCAAAATGTAATCAACCACAACAAATCACAAGACCCAGTAGAATATACTCTGTCACTGACCTCACTACAGCACACCCAATCACAGAATTCTGTAGAACTTAGCCCATCAAATGATTCTGTAAAATGCAGCCAATCACAGGATTCAGTAGAAAACAGTCAGTCACATACTACATCAGAACACATTCAGTTACAGAAGTCTATAGAATGTAGCCAATCACAGAATTCCATACAACACAGGAAATCACAGGATTTAGCAGAACAAAACCAATCACCGAACACCATAGAGCACAGCCAATCACAAACTCCAGTGGAACACAGCCAATCACAAACTTCAGTGCAACACAGCCAATCACAAACTTCAGTGGAACACAGCCAATCACAAGTTGATTCCATTAAGGCAAATTCTATGAATACACAGTGGACTGTGACGGAGTCAGACTCTGGTTTTATTTCAAACACAGCTTCTCTTTATGAAAAGGGACAATTAAAACAGGACTGCGTGGACGTATGCATGAATTGTGAAGTCAGTCAGTCCTTGAAAACATCTGGAAGGCTTTCATCAGAGGATACTGACAAAGAACTCGATTTGAACTTCGAAAAGAATAACAGTCTAAATTTAAAAAAGCAGAACTTAAATGACACCCTACCTGTTATTTCTGAATGCGAGTCTTTTGCAGCTGAGAGAGCTTTCTCAAATGTGCCTAACGCAACTTCTGCTGGAGTGTCAGATTCACTGAATCAGCATGTGATCAATGACCGGACTTCAGAACTGTCAGATCTGCAGGCCAGACCTCATTACGGTCAACAAAATTTCCCAGTTTTACAAATGCACACTGAAAAAAGGGATTACTCAGTTAGTAGTTATCACATGGACATTCATTGCTTAGAGGACATTGTTGCAGGGGAACATGAGCCTGAGGCAGATTTTTATGAAACCCATCAGTGCCCTAATAGCAGAATTAACTGTAACACACAGGGTGAATTCACTGAAGCACAAGTGTATGTTAACACTAAAACGTTTGATACCAATGATGGTGACGTTTTAGAAGGAACACAGAAGAATAGCAAAACACATCACATTATTAAAGGGTACCAGAAAGAATGTACAATAGTTCCCTCGATAGAACAGTCAGTAATTTACTCTGATAGTTCGGGATGCATAGAATACACTAGGCCTAAGTCATTGAGTGTCACGTGTCCTGACATGAAGACAGCTGAAGCCGATGGGAGTCCTGTAGACAGTCCTGTCGAATCTCTGGCTAGTCTGTTCGAGATTTCGTATGACAAATCTCAAGTCAGCCCCACAGATGTTTGCTTTGAGCTCAGTGATGGCCTTCATATGAACTGTAAACAAGTAGCACATTGCGTTATAGAATATACAGAGACCTCCAAACAATTTCACAGACCCGACACCCTGTCTGACAAACAAGCAAGACAAAACGAGTCAGTTGAAACAATTGAGCCGGATGTAGATATTTTGTCTAGTGCATGTACTGATCCTTTCACAAATGCACAATCCCCTTTTGATTATTCCCAGCTGAACAGTAGAAACAATGAATACAGCTCAGACACAAATAATAATATTAAAGCCATTACTTTTGAAGAGTGTGCCTCAGGTGAACAGATCTCTTTGCCCAATTCTTTGCAAAAATACAGCAGGTTTAGTATCAATGCTGGATCTTTACTCTCAAAAGGTGGTGATTGCAAAGACAATGCCCCTCCTAGTCAGGCTACTCCCTTTAAAGCACCTGAAATGAGGACTGCAATTGACAGCAAAGATAATGTTGCTAAACCTTCTGAATTCAACGAATTCAGCAGCCATAGAGATGTTATACTAAAGCAGCTTTGTGATTGCTGTGATGGAAAGGAGTGCCAGCTGCACTCGCCTGCAGTGGAAGGAGAGCAGACAGCAGGAGGATTTCAGTTCAAGGGCACAGACAGCATCAGTCAGAGCAGAACTGCAGTGTTGCAAACCTTGAGTACCTCACACACACATGACCAATGCAACACACATGGAGAGGTTAATGCAGACTCTACAAACTGTGAATTTTCACATATTGGCCATTTGCTTGCACACAATTTCACAGACCCGACACCCTGTCTGACAAACAAGCAAGACAAAACGAGTCAGTTGAAACAATTGAGCCGGATGTAGATATTTTGTCTAGTGCATGTACTGATCCTTTCACAAATGCACAATCCCCTTTTGATTATTCCCAGCTGAACAGTAGAAACAATGAATACAGCTCAGACACAAATAATAATATTAAAGCCATTACTTTTGAAGAGTGTGCCTCAGGTGAACAGATCTCTTTGCCCAATTCTTTGCAAAAATACAGCAGGTTTAGTATCAATGCTGGATCTTTACTCTCAAAAGGTGGTGATTGCAAAGACAATGCCCCTCCTAGTCAGGCTACTCCCTTTAAAGCACCTGAAATGAGGACTGCAATTGACAGCAAAGATAATGTTGCTAAACCGTCTGAATTCAACGAATTCAGCAGCCATAGAGATGTTATACTAAAGCAGCTTTGTGATTGCTGTGATGGAAAGGAGTGCCAGCTGCACTCGCCTGCAGTGGAAGGAGAGCAGACAGCAGGAGGATTTCAGTTCAAAGGCACAGACAGCATCAGTCAGAGCAGAACTGCAGTGTTGCAAACTTTGAGTACCTCACACACACATGACCAATGCAACACACATGGAGAGGTTAATGCAGACTCTACAAACTACAAACATCCGGAGCCCGTCCAAGAGGAAAGCACATTACCACTGAGTGGCTCACTCAAGGTCGATGATACTTATGAATTGGAAAACATGGAGAGAAAGCTTGAAACTTTCATGGCTAGCTCTCCTGAAAGCACTGATTCAATATGTGAAACTTCTGATCCTCTATGTAAGCAATCTTTGCAACTGCGCAACTTGGAGACAGAGGGCGCATTTGTTACATGTTGCCGTATTTTACCCATCACTAATTTAGAGGCCATTTTGGAGTCAGACCGTTCACCGGAGAGCTCATTTGTGATAGAAAATGGACTTAGGGAGCAACAGGGAGGAAGTCCATTATCAGAAGGTGGATTCAGTGAGGAATGGAACTCTTGTGATGACGTCACAAACCGCACACATGAAAACATTTCTGCCATGTGTACAAAAACCAACGTAGCCACTGTCATGAATGAACAAGATGCTGGAGAAACAATGAGCTCTTTATCAAATGGTTTTGATAGCAGTGATGGTTATAGTGTTTCCAGTTTTGTGTCACAAGACCTTGACTCCAGTACGAACAGTGAAGAGACAGAGGACAGCACTCAGTCATCATCTAGTCTTCGTGGTTCTTCAAGAAATAAGAGAACCCAATCAGGGAAGGGCTCTGTGTTTTCAGTTTTTTCTCGAATGCCCTCATTCCGCAAGATTAAACAAGAACACAAAGGCAATAGCAAGGTTGATCCAGAAATTAAGGACTCCAATGAGGATGGAGATGAACGGTGTGAGTTGAAGTACAATAGGTCACCCACACTTAACAAATCCAACCATTCACTGTACAAGACCTCTATTTCTCAAAGTACAGATCATCTAACAGCCATTACAAAGTTTGTTGACCACTCCAATGATGATAGTTTTGAAAAAGCTTTTGCTTTAAACATGCAGAATAGAGAGAAGTATACACAATCCCAAAATTTGTATCAGCAGCACAAAGATGGAGATGCAGTGAATTTTAGAGTTTCCCCAACAACAGAGGGATTGCAACAAAAAAGAAGCAAGAGTACCGATAACTTAAACTTGCGCATGAAGCTCGTAATGGCTCACAAGTCTCTGTCTAGCCTGTTTGAGTCCAGATATCCTGAGAGGGACAACCAGGAGCAGATTGCACAGTCAGAGAACGAGGAGGTAAAAATCAAGCAGTCCTGGAGGAAGTCGAAACGGTCTAAGGAAGCAGAACTTTGCAAAAGAACTCTATCGGTTCCTGGGATGGTCTGTGACAAGTCCATACATCAGAGCCATATCAATTGTGCCTTCTGTGCTCCTCAGAACAGGTCAAGACTTAATAGCTCACCAGCTTCCCAAAAGAGTTTGAAGAGCACGTGCCATTCTGATTCACAGAGTTTGAAATCTGGTCTTCAGGAACAGTCAGAAGACAGAAAATATCTGGAAGGAGGTGAGCTGCCTTGTGCTCCTTACTTAGATAATGACCAGATCTCAGAAGATGGCTTCGAGTCCAGTGTAGCGGATAGGTCACAATCACCTGTACACCAAACTGTTTTTGCACTTACAAACCAGATGTCACCTACCTGGACCAGATCTTTAAGCTGTTTTGAGACCACTGATACGCCAACAAGGCCCATGAGCCCTAAGCCTCACAGTCCTGGTCTGGGCTGGACACGCCGGAGGAGCTTCCGTTACCCCTCAAGATCTGTTGCATCTTCTCTCTGCTCACTCGGTCAAGGAGTGAGCACTGACGGTCTCTCCGATCCACCTCAGAGACCGACGTCTCTGAAACCAAGGACAGCACAACTCACAACAACCCACTCTTTTGATTGTGAGTCCTTACTAGAGGACAGCAGTTCAGACAGCCAGTCTCAAAATAGCCTGAATTCAGCACCCCTGATCAACAAACCAGAGGTAAGTCAAAGTCAATTATGAAGTTTATGATGTTAGGAGAGCATAAATGTGTCCTTTGAAAATTTTGGACGGGATTGCTATGTGATTTCTCACTTGCTATATTTAGCTCATACGTCAAAGCAAAAGTGGATTGTTAAAGTGCTTTTTGGAATTGATCTGGATTAGCCAGCAAATTACAAGGGTTATTACATGTTAAGTCACAATATTTCTCAAAGGTAGTGCCATCTAGTGGCTAGCAAGGAACATTTATGATCACATTGTCCACCCTTTCAAAAAGTGTGGCCTACAGTGCAAAAAATACTTAATGATTTTTTTTCAGCTAAAGTAACACGTAAAAGATTTTAAGGTTTGTTTTCATAGATTGTATCTTGAATATAAGTGCATTTTGCGTTTGTAGATTTTTTTTCTATTAAAAGTTGAGGGTTGGTAAGATTTTAAAATGTTTTTTTAAATAAGTATCTTAAGCTCACCAAGACTGCATTTATTTGATCAAAAATACAGTACAAACAATAATATTGTGAAATATCATTACAATTTAAAACTATAGTTTAAAACTCTTTTGTATATTAAAGTGCCCCTATTATGGGTAATGAAAGGTTCATATTTTGGTTTTGGGAGTCCCCAACAACAGGTTGACATGCATGCAAGGTCAAAAAACACTTTCATTGTATTATAATATGCATTTATTTTTACCTTACTTGCTCAACGACTCCCAAACGGTTCGCTCAAAGATACATTTTTCCAAACCCCTCCTTTGCGTGACGCTAATCCGCGGTGATTGGTCTCATTTTCATTTCATAATGCCTGATAAAGCAGCCTTTGTAAGCAGTGCTGCTTTGTGTACAGCGTTACCGGGGAAACCGCTATTTTTACTGATTTTTAGGCTCAAAAAGTGGCACCTAGTGGCAAAGAATGAATTTGCATTTTCATTCAGACCAATGCGAAAAGACCAACAAGTGGGCGGGCAATATGCTAATGTTTCATGTTGACGGCAACATGAAACGGCTGATTCAGAGTCGACTCTTTATTTTGAGAGACAATAACTTTATACACGGTGCACTTTCAGATTTAAAACTTTGCAGGATGTTTTCATTCACTTAGAGCTGTGTTACACACTGCATGAAAGGTAATTTTCAAAAATCCATAATAGGGCCATTTTAAGATATTTTAAAATGTAGTAATTTATTCCTGTGATGGCAAAGCTCAATTTGCAGCAGCCATTACTCCAGTCTTGGCAATCCTAGTAATTATTCTAATATGCAGATTTGGTGCTTATGAAATGTTTCTTATCATCAGTGTTGAAAACATTTGAGCTGTTTAATATTTTTGTAGAAACGGTGATACATTTCTTTCAGGATTCTTTGCAAAAGAACACCATTTATATGAAAGAGAAATCATTTGTAACATATTTTTAATGCATCTTTGCTGAATAAAAGTACTATTTTTTTCCTAAAAGATCTTACTGACCCCAAACATATGTTATGTACTAACCTGCAAGTGCTGACAAAATACACATGTATAAGGCATATATCCAACAGATTAATAATGTAATAACTGAAAAAAAAAAAAAATACAGTGCAGTGTAAATATCTTGCTAATGTTTACTTTTAACTTCTTAACATTATTAAAAGTCAACATATGACAAACTTCATCCCTTAGTGGAAATCCATTGAAAGACATGTACATGTACTGTACAATAACCACCTAAATTTGCACTCAAAGCATGTACAGCACAGTACTGAGCCAGCCATCCAGTCAGAAGAGAGAAGACAACAGGGAAGTGCATGTGTGCTTCGGGTGAAGTCCAGACAGCAGGGTAAAGCTGCACCCAGACCCATCTCAGACCTCTACGGTTGGACCGTGTCTCTTCAGGGCATCAGGGAGGTGGCGCTTGATCTGGAGAGGAAGAGCAATTCGACCGAAACCCGTCGGCGTTCATGCTCATATGAAACGTTGACTGATGTGGAGAACACCCATAAAAAGAAGCTTAACACGCGGCAAAGTTTGCGTCAGCTTAGCTCACCAACATCTCAGAAGCACGAGAAAGTAAGGAACTCGTCAAAAAGGGAGAACAGCCTGACCATCAGCATCTCCCACTGCACCTTTTCGTCTCTTTTTCTTCTTTCTTTCTGTTTTGAGCTCCTGGAATCATTCCCTTGTAGTGCCTTTAGGATTTCCAATTTCTGTTCCGTTTCTTGTAATTTGCCTGAATACACAAACATCTGGCTGAACACTTTCACCATTTACGATGTCTTTTAGAAATATCAAATGAGCTTATGAATTTGAGTCATTTAAAATGATTAAGACAATTGCATTAATTTGCACAGTTTTTCCTCAGTACATGTACACAGTACAGTACATATTGACTATAGTATTACATTTAATAATCATAATGATTTTAACACCGTTTTCTATTCATCATAAATATAGATATACAGATAAATGTTTTATTTAATTTTTATTTATAATTAACAATATTAAAAAAATATTAGTAATATATACTGTTTTGTCAGTACTTTTCATTATATACTGTATATACATATAGTAAATAGTACGTAGTAGAGTAAAAAGGCATATATAAATAGCAAATATTATTTACTCATTATTATTCATAATATATACTTTTATCTCATCCGTAGGTGCGCGCTAGACTTTCCCTCACTTCTCCAGAGCAGTTCCCCTCTGTTCCTCTCAAAGACCACTTCTTCTCCCAGAGCACACCTGTTGGACTGGACTTTTTGGGCTGGCCTCACCGTGCATCATTTTCAGGTACGGAACATTGGCATTTAAACCTTCCATATGTTGCACCACAACCATTTATTATAGTACAAAGTATATTGACTTCCTAAATCTTTCCTTTAAGTCTTGGTTTATTTTATTGTCCTCCAGGGGGCAATGGTCACCTTCATTCTGCAACCTGTGATAACCCTCTGTGAGTTATTTATAGTTCTGTTTGTGACAGTGGGAGCCCAGAGACTCACAGACGTCTTTGATGTAAATTTATAGTTTTTCATCATCAAACACTAACCCATTTGAGTTAAGATACCTGGACATAAACCTGAGGAGGTCCTTGCTCAGCTGCAGTCACAAACAATCAGTACATCTGTGATGAGTGATGAATTCCACCTACGGCGTGTGATTTCTTAAGAAGAAGCTTTATTCAGTCGTGTGTGCACATAGCGGGAGCACAGAGGCTATCTTTGTGCAGTAATGCATGGAGCGTGGAGCTCAAAGGCCCCCAGTGCTGATCCGCTCTCTTTCTGCCAAACAATCCTGCTGATTATTTCTCACCCACTCACTGGCGCCAGGCCTTCTCTCGCTCACTTTCGCTCGCTCTCTGAGTGTAGAGGTAGACCTGGCATGGGTTTATAACCCCCACCCTTACATACGCTCACATACGCACACTTTTGAAAGGAGACTTTGAATTAGGAAATTGAGTTGAGCGTCTCAGTAGAAGTGTAAGCTACTATGAAATGGGCTTTGGCTGACCTTGAGTTTTGTTTGCCTGCTGTTATGAGCATTATGTTTCTATGATCAACATAAAACCCTAACTGAATCTGCGCCATGTTATATATTAAAGTGTGCATTTTTTCTTCAGAATCTATGATCTTTTACTGTTGTTCTGTTTCATTTATATTTATATTCCTCCCACTATTGATGTCTTATTGCTGTGACATGCTCTGTATTTTGCAAGGCCTCTGTAAATGCCTTGCCTTATGTAATATGGATTCCTATGAGGAGAAAGAAACAATGACCTCATTTTGCCCCTTGCTGACATCATGCCCACTCTACGACCTTTCTGTATGCCGCATGGCAAGCCAATGCAGCATTCCTATTGAGGTTATGCTAATGTAGAACTTGAATCTTAGTTTGTAGCTTTAATTCAGGAGTTCTTCATGAGAGAAACTAACACCGATACATGCTTCTCTCCACAGAATCGAATCTCAGCACACCAGCACAAGAGGCAGGAGAGAGACAGGTCCTCCCTCTGGGTGAGTTTACTCCTTCTGAACCACAATATGAGCTGGACAATGCTGTGAAATATTGAAGGGACATTCAAACCTGTTTGTTTGACCTGTTTGCATCTGTGACTGTTGGGTTGAACGTATTTTTCTCAGCTTGTGCGTTTTTATGAATTCTAATATGGTGATTATATTATGCTGTTTTAGTCTGCTGGCTAATAGTCCAGTTGGATTTGTGTGTGATTTAAACTGGGGGGTTTGATGTCATATTTTGATCTCCAAATATGAAGATCCCCTTGCAAGAGAGCCTCTTTCTATAAATACAGCTATGTATTTGCTTCTCTTATAAATACTCTCTATTTATAAGAGAAAAATAGTTACCATGATGTTGTTGTTGTTATTTACAATGGTTTTGTCAATATGTTCTCTCTCTATATTAAATATTTAATATTATTATTAATAATAATATAATTCATATAATAATAAATACAATAATAATAAATAATAATAGAAAAATGTTTACTATGACTATACATAATAATAATAATACATTTAATAATGAAAATAATAATAAATAATAATAGTAAAATGTTACTGCTGCTACTACTACTACTACTACTACTACTACTAATAATAATATTAATAATTGTGAGGAAACCTTTTCCAATCAATCAATCAATTAATCAATCAAGGTTATTATTATTATTATTTATTTTTTAATTTTTTTTAATTCTCAGTGTTTTGCATGAAGATCCCCTTGCAAGAGAGCCTCTTTCTATAAATACAGCTATGTATTTGCTTCTCTTATAAATACTCTCTATTTATAAGAGAAAAATAGTTACCATGATGTTGTTGTTGTTATTTACAATGGTTTTGTCAATATGTTCTCTCTCTATATTAAATATTTAATATTATTATTAATAATAATATAATTCATATAATAATAAATACAATAATAATAAATAATAATAGAAAAATGTTTACTATGACTATACATAATAATAATAATACATTTAATAATGAAAATAATAATAAATAATAATAGTAAAATGTTACTGCTGCTACTACTACTACTACTACTACTACTAATAATAATAATAATAATTGTGAGGAAACCTTTTCCAATCAATCAATCAATCAATCAATCAATTAATCAATCAAGGTTATTATTATTATTATTATTATTTATTTTTTAATTTTTTTTAATTCTCAGTGTTTTGCATTTTTATATTTATTTATATAATAAATATTTCTTTATTTACTTTAATACCACTACTACTTACAATAGTTATTATTATTACTATTTTCTAAATGTTATTTTTTTGCACTGTTTTTTTGCACAACTTTTCCACAGACCCCAGGGGGCCCCCGACACAAGTTTAAAAACCCCTGATCTTAACCAGTGGCCGGTCTGACCTGTCATATACAAGAATGTGAGGAATGTTCCTCTGAGTTTTATCTTTTTTCCAGATCCAGCTCCCATGTTATGTAAAGTGTGGTCACAGCTGCAAGGGTTCGCACAAATCAAGATCCTCAAGTTTGAGTCTGATGAGAAAGTCTTCACACCAGCCACATTCCTTTCTATTCTTAGTTTCCAGAGATCCTGACCATTTCCGTGGAAATCACGTCCTTTGGTATCACATCAGCATACTGCGCAAGCATGCTTGGGCTTTTGTTGTGATAAATTGTGAACATTTTTGGGCTCGTCATTAGTGTCATCTCAGCTAATTATGGGTTCAATTCTTAGAAGGTGTTTGCAACTCGCAACATCGCTAGTGTTCTCTCCAGGCGCTGTCTTTTGGTTTACTAACAGCTTGGCTTTAACAGTGGAGGAGGGGAGCTCAAGGGGGGATTGGAAGGGAGGGGGAAGGCGGTCCGTTTCAGCGCCAGACTGAGCGTTTCGCATTGAGCCATGTGAGTCATATAAGTCCTCCTCCCCTTAAAGGATCCCCAGTGATGCCAGCCTGTGACTGTATGTGTGTGTGGGAGAGAGAGAAGGCTGATTGTGTGTCTGGGTGTCTGTGTTGAGCCGTGAGCTCTTTGAGACTGTGCATCCAAGAGTGAAAGTAAAAGAGCAGAAGAGCGAGTGAGGAATGACAGAGGGAGGCTGAGGCTACGCCGCACACTCGAGCCTTGGAGACACGCTTTGGACCTGACACCTGCCGAAGCGACGCCACCCTTCTTCCTCTCGCTGTGCATCCACATGCGCACCCAGCACAGTGCCGGTGAGGTGGGCGTCCCGCTGGCAGGAGGTGGCTGCAGTGGTGGCAGTTCAGAGCAGTTACCTGGCTCTGACTCAGACTGTAGCCCTGCTCTGAAACTGGCCGGAGGGATTAGAGCAGTGCGAGGGGTCATGTCCCATTACTGGAGTCTGGAGAGCCTTCACTCCACCAACGGTAAGACTCTCTCTTACCTTTGGAGCTCAGATGTTTTGAACTGCGTTTCGAGCTTGACGTCAGTTGACACTCATGCAACGGGTGACGTTCTGCCTCTGTGAGGTTCTTGTGACAGCTCTTGTTCATTGTATTGTAGTCTTTCGGTCAATGTGATGGCATTGTCTTGAGCCCTTGATGGGCAAAAAGTGGTAGCTGAAAGAGACACTGTCTCTATGCAAATGTAAACACATAGCGTAGCTGCCGCTCATGCGATATGCGTGTCAAAGCAACAGGAGTTTGCCTTCTGACCAATCGACATGTATAGAAGCAACATGAGTTGGAAATCGAGGTGGCGATGTGGTAATCGAGATGCCTTGCTGTTGAATGAAGATGCCACTCTCTTTACCGTCTGCATCTTGCTTCGGTTATTGCATTACTGTCACGGATGTCATCTATTGATCTATGTTCCTGCTGGCTCGTAATTGGTTAAGTGGTAATGTTGTGGAAGCCTCTGTCAAGTGAGCCAATGTGTATGGTAGATGTAGATGGATTGCTTATGAGCGAAGTGACAGCTTTCCCTTCGTTGCCTGCATTTCCTGCATTCAGCTGCTACACGCATTCCCTCGCAGGATATTAATGTGCGAAATTAGCATGCGTTGAGCTTTTCCACACCTATGTGATATTAAACACTGTGGCAGTGACATGTCAGCATTTGTGTAAAAATGCAGCGTTGTATTCAGCACAGCATGAGTGAAAGCACAGGCTGTGTTAAAAATATTTTAGGGGTAACCAACACTGCCCCTTTTGCCTCTGTGAACAGAGCCGATATATCGATTAAGCAAATTCTTCAGGTTTCCTTTCTAAGAATAGAGCAACTCTCTCTCTGTGCTGGCACTACCCATAGCCGTATAGTAAGACAAACGAGTGCAAAACGAGTGATGTGAAATGAGACGAGATGCCAATTTGAGCAGTATTTTGGTCTCATTATCTTCTCTCAGGGTTGGCATGGTGACAGACAAGCCAATGACCGTCAGCCAAGGTAGTACTGATGTCACAAACGGCCACCGCTACCCACGTCAGCTGCAATTTGAATGTTTTTCTCATTTTCTGCTTTGTCCTAAGAGAGATGGGATGTGACTTTTCCTGTGATGGAGGGAAATAAATGGTGCACTGTGAGCCGGGGGCAGTAGCTACAGACATTTCAAACAGCGCTGTCACCTCGTCACGGTCCGCTGACCTCATTACAGCACTCATATAGCTGATCGCAGGACAGTCAGAAGAACAAAAACCGGAGTGACACGTGAGAAATGTGTTCAACTGGAACGTTTGTAAGTTTGAACATTAGAAGTGTTTGATGAGAGTTTGTTTCCCGCACAAATCCCAAGGCTCTTTCTTGGCATCTCTAGACCAACAGAGATGGTTTGGGTTCAAGCCAGACTTGACCCGCAGAACTCATTCACTAAACTGAGAGACTCTCTACCCTAGTGTTATGCAACAAGAACTGTTTTTTTGTGTAATTACTGACTGGGAGGTCTACAGTATGTACTGTAATATCTGGAGAAAGCTATCCATTAGCTTTTCTGTTTGTCTCAATGGCATTTGCTTAGCTGCTACCACAGAAGACTGTGACAGTCCGTGTCTAGTTCACTTTTAAGAGTGGTAATACTTATAGGGATCACTAGTATAGGGATCACTATTAACTAGTTGCTTATTAGAATGCCTATTATTATAATATCTATTATTATATTAGTAGGCCTACTCATAAAGCACATATTCTGCGTGGCCAATCCTACCCAATACCTAAACTTAACAACTAGCAGCAAATTAGAAACAAAATGTGTAGTTAAAAAAAAAATCAAAAATCAAAACATGCTATTATAAATTATTTTTAGTTTTTTTCTTTATAATGCAGTGACTTCAAAAGGTATTTAGACATTTAATTTTAATGCATTGTACAATAAAATCCAAGTGCTGTTTATGGTAAAGACACAAAATAATATGAGCACCTGGGAAATAGGCAATATTTCATTATTAAGATGTTTTGTACCATTTGCCTTTAATACAGTTTCCAACCGTCTTAGAATAGATTCATAGAACCTTTGAATAGTCTCCAGTCGAATGTGGTTTGTCAGAACATCTGCCAGTTGCTTAGAGATGTTGGAGGAGGGAACTGGCTACTTACTTTTCTTTCCAAAACTGCCCACAGTGGTTGGCAATATTCAAGTCAGGTGATTGAGCTGGAGAAGGCGGATGTTGAAGTTTATCTGGGTGCTCAATGGGGTTTATGATGATGACACCATATTTTTCAAATTTTTCATATCACTGGTTTCTGTGATAAAAGTTTTAGCAATTGCTGCTCTTTCATGGATTCAAGTTCTCTGTGGTCATTTTTTTAGGAATCATGGTCTTGAAGGTGTATATTGAAGTTCATTGTCACTGTTCTAATGTAGTTCTGTGTTGTTTGGACACAATCATTCTTGTTTGATGGGCCCTATCATTCACTTTTGGTTTTTGCCCCTTATTCTTCTTCACTGATTAAGTCTTGCCAAGCTTTGTGTGTGAATTCATAATCATAAACCCTGTTTTACTTAAAGGGGTCATATGATCTTGCTAAAAATAACATTATTTTGTGTGTTTGGTGTAATGAAATGTATT